AACATTCATATATTTCTTCTTTTCATTTGTATTTTAACAAAGTTCAAAATACACTTGTATTTTAACAAAATACTATCTATTTTAACACAAACCCTTATGTTTTACATGATTTCAGAGTCCATCTAATTCATTCTCCTAATTGTACGGGAGAACAACTGAGAATTCTATATCATAATTAGGGTGATTACATACTTTATTGTCCAAATCTGGACACTAAAACAAAATAGGTTGTTCTAATAATTACCCCAGGACAACGAGGTTAAACCGGGAAGCTAGGATATATGAGCACCTTAATTTAAAAAAAATAGAAACTAAGATTACCAGATGGTTGAGTCATTAAAATTAATTTAATTGCTTTTTTTAGGTCTTCTGCCATTCTAATAATGTTAATTTAAATAAAGTTAAATTGGCCATTCTAATAATAGCTAACATTTTAAATAAGTTATTATGTACCAGGCATTATTCTGAGTATTTTATTTGTAAAAACATGATTAATTTTCATCTATGTAAGATTGTTACTCATCCCAATTTTATTGATAACTGATTTCTAGAGAGGTTAAATTTCTTATCCAAAGTCAAAAAGCTAGTAAGTACACTGTAAACAAGCTGGGGTCCAAAGCCAAGTATTTTGGTTCCTGAGTCTTAGCCATTCCCCATTCTGCTCCTCATGCTGCTAGCACTGATGGTTGTGGAGGCAGGCCTAGAATAGCAGTGATATTTGAAAGGCTGAGCAGATCTGAGAGGTTTGCAATCCTAGGAGTCATAAAAAATTGGAAGTACAGGGTAGGAGGTTCTGAAGTAGATACTTAGAGATCAATGTAAAATATCTGGTATTACAAATCAGGAATGACAGAATGAAGCTGCACTTATGGGTGCCCTTCATTGTGCTTGCTAAAGCGTGGGTCTTATATGTGGCTTCAAGGAGTGATATCCAGGCGGTGAGCCCAGCATGAGCAGTCTGAAGCAAAAGGAGCATCTGACTGAGGTGGGGAGTAAAGATAGGGAATGGAGATTCCTGACCATTTACTTGATCACCTATGAACTCTACCTTGGTTGCAGTTTTTTATAGTAGAAGAGAAAGTCTTGCTCTTGCTTCCAGGGAAGACTAGGATGAAAAAGAGCTGGTAGCAACGGGGACAAAGGGAGGTTTTTCTAGTCAATGCACTGTGGCTTCTTGGCACAGCCTGCAGTCCTGGCTACCACTAACCTGTTGGAGACCTTAACAGAGGTTCTACCATGCTGAGGCTATGCTGAGAAATCACTGAGGAACCACTGGACTGATCATTTCTTGATTTTTAGCTCTCTGTGTAGTGGGGAATTATGACATTCAAGAACTGGGAGCAACATACTGCCAATTCTAATGTATGTTCTATTGGTCTTTTAGGCAGTTATTTCCATCCTTATCAACAAAGATATCTTTAATTACAATAATTTATCATTAGATTGACTTTGGTGTAAACATACATCTATTACATACTTTTAAACCCTTTAATATATTGTGTCTAAGTTTTTCTTTAGTATGAGAACATACTCATTCACCTGGGTCTTAATTGCTTGTATTTCTTAAACTGGCAATCTCAATCTTGATTGTGTTGGTCAATCTTATTGAGGACCTTTTATTGAATATTGGTACTATGGGGAGAAAATAATTCCCATCTTCAAAATATAGAAGTAAAAAAATATAACAAAAAGCAAAACAAAATAAAAGATAAATAATTTAATCAAAAGTAACATAAATAGTAGGAAAATGATAATGGAAATTACAATAATTCTCAGGGATTATAGTTTAAAAGTGCATTCACCAGATATTTTATCCTAACCTAATTTGTCTGAATATTATTGAGTATTTTTGCAAAATAGTCAAATACAGTGTTAAAATATAAAAAAGTATTATCTTAAAAAGCTAACAACTTGTAATTTTGGATTACATTTATAAAATACTTGTATATTTTTTTCATATGTACTATTTTTAAAAAAATATTTTTATTGATTTCAGAGAGGTAGGGAGAGGGAGAGGGAGATAGAAACATTAATAATGAGAGAAAATCATTGATCCGTTGCCTCCTACAGGCCCCCTACTGGGGATCGAGCCTGCTACCCAGGCATGTGCCCTTGACCGGATTCAAACCCAGGACCCTCCAGTCTGTAGGCCGATGCTCTGTCCACTGAGCCAAACAGGCTAGGGCCATATATACTATTAAAAAGCCCTTTAATTTTTATTTATTTTTATTTTTTTCTTTATTGATTAAGGTATTACATATGTGTCCTTATCCCCCCCTCCCCCCCACTTGAGCCCTCACCCTCTTAGTGTCTGTGTCCATTGGTTATGCTTACATGCATGCATACGAATCCTTTGGTTGATCTCCCCCCCCCCCCCCCCCCCCCCGCCTTCCCTCTGAGGTTTGACAGTCTGATCCATGCTTCTCTGTCTCTGGATCTGTTTTTGTTCATCAGTTTATGTTGTTCATTATATTCCACAAATGAGTGAGATCATGTGATATTTATCTTTCTCTGACTGGCTTATTTCACTTAGCATAATGCTCTCCAGTTCCATCCGTGCTGTTGCAAATGGTAGGAGTTCCTTCCTTTTTACAAACAGCGTAGTATTCCATTGTGTAGATGTACCACAGTTTTTTAATCCTCTCATCTGCTGATGGGCACTTAGGCTGTTTCCAAATCTTAGCTATTGTAAATTGTGCTGCTATGAACATAGGGGTGAATATATCCTTTCTGATTGGTGTTTCTAGTTTCTTGGGATATATTCCTAGACGTGGGATCGCTGGGTCAAATGGGAGTTCCATTTTTAGTTTTTTGAGGAAACTCCATACTGTTCTCCACGGTGGCTGCAATTGTCTGCATTCCCACCAGCAGTGCACAAGGGTTCCTCTTTCTCTGCATCCTCGCCAGCACTTGTCATTTGTTGATTTGTTGATGATAGCCATCTGACAGGTGTGAGATGGTACCTCATTGTCATTTTGATTTGCATCTCTCGGATGATTAGTGACTTTGAGCATGTTTAGTTTTAAATTAGAAAGGAGATCTGAAGTTATCTAATTCACTCCTTTATAGGGCGAACAATCAAGAATCAGAGTATTTCATGGCTTGCTCAAGTTTGCTTGGGAGTACAAACAGAACTGAGATCCAGGTTTCCTGCCTCCAGCTTGCAGACCTTTCAATACTCTGTGTTCACTTAAAATAAAAAATTAACATCATATACAGACAGTCCTCAGGTTACGTCAGACTCGATATATGTCATTTCGTGGTTACGTCGCCATCTCCCATTTATTTATAAAAAAAAAAAGTTCTGTCATTTCGACGTGTTGTACATATGTGCTTTATGTTTTTTACTATTTATTTACCACAAGTAAAGGTCAGGAATTATCTTTCTTTTAAATTTTTTTTTACTGTTTCACTTTATTACTGATGTGTATGTGCTCCATGTGAGTGACGTAGGTACTTATGTAGGTGGGTTCCGACTTACGGCGAAAATCACATTATGTTGCACCATAGGAACGGATCTCCGATGTGACCTAAGGACCTACTGTGTATAGAATATAGACTATCTATATATATAAAACCCTAATATGAAAATAGACCGAATGGTGGAATAACCGAACAACCAAACAACTGGTCGCTATGATGTGTGCTGACCACCAGAGGGCGCATGCAGAACATGGCGGGTGTCAGCAGCAGGTGGCAGAGCATGGAATATGGCGGGCGTTGGCTGTAGTGGGATGGTGGAGCAGGTGAGCGGGGGGCCCCAGACCAAGATGGGGCATCGGTCATCTGGGCGAGCCTCTGGTGGTTACTGAAAATTCTTTGCTCCCATGTTCCATAGTTCCACCCCGGGGGCAGCCCCACTTGCACCTGCTGCCAGTACCTGGCGCCAGCCCCGATTTTCTGTTTATGGCTTTGATTTTCATTCTAGTCTTCTAGATAGACAGAATTAACTATATTTCCTGTATATATATGTTTTTATTTCTTGATCAAATTCCTGTTAGAAATATTGTATTGTAGAACCATACTAACTTTCCTGGATTTAGTAAACCAAGCTTAATCATCCATGCAATTTCTCCCTAAACCCCTATCTTAGCTCAGTGGACTATTGGTATAGGTGACATTAACTGGGTAATTTCTGAACCTTTATTACTTTCTGATGTTTCAATTGAGCCAAAAATAAGAGATCACTGAGAGTAAATTGTGAACAAATAAATAGCATAGCTGTTTAATTTTTTTGTATACATATGTTTATATGCTTTTAGAGGTTAGGGGTAGACTTTCATTTCAGGTTAAAGAAATAAAAGTGAAGAAAAAATCAAAATAATCTATTTTTCAGTAATAGCTTTCTTAAATTAAATGCTTGAATTATAATATTCAAATAGGAATAATCTCAATCTATATTTCAACTTCAATACAGGCAAGACTTAATTATAGACATAATTAATAACAAAACAAATATTAAACACTTTTTAAAATAGGAACTAGCACAAATCTATTGACAAAGATTTGTTTGCTGCACCTTATTTGCATTGTCTACCATACAGAACAGATAAAATGCATATTCTTGTTATTTATTAAAGACATTTCCATTTTAATCTTGAAGGCATAGGTTTGAGTCAAATACCTTTTAAATAAAAATATTTCTTGCAGTTAATATGTTTGCACTCTTTTATGGTTCTGATTATATTTTTATTTTAACCATAAGAGGGCACATTAGTTCAAGAGAAATTAAAGAAGAACCACAGCAAGAAAAAGGAAATAGGCTTAAAAGTGGTAGATAAAATTTGTATATTTATGATTGTTTTCCCTCATTTCACTGTCATTTGCAACAATTTATCAGGGTTTTCTTTTTTATTTTGAAAAGATTCAAGTATATATAGTTTTGAAAGGGGGCAGCGATAGAATTTGGGGTACCAGCTAATATTATAAGAAAAACTGTAACCCATTGTTTGTCCAGTTGTAGTTTCATTAAGAAATAACTTTTTACTTTTTGTTGCTAGCTACTACTCCTAGGAGAATGAGGTTGGCCTAGTTGGATTTGATGAAGTTGACTACTATGTGACTAAGGAGGACATAAATCATGGCATTCGAAGAACATCCTGAGTTCAAAGGTACGTACGATTAAGTTATTATGAAGTAAGTAAATGCCAGTCCCTGGTCTTGTAGTTTAAAAAAAAAGGGGGGGAGGCACCTATGTGTGAATGTATGCAGCTCAGCAACTATGCTTCAGCACAAACATTTATAACCTTTAAAATTTGTTACAAATTACAAAGAGAACAATAGATGGCCCCAGAGTGAACACAAGGCTTTATTTCACTAGAAAGGCTTCACTGAGGTCATAAACTGCAAGAAGGCAGGCAGCTCAAGTGGCTTATGAATGAATGCAGAGTCTCAGAATTAGTTCATTTGTTTTCGATCTAAGGCAAACTGTTATTGTTTCTAATGTTCAGTCTTTTGCTCTAAAGGCTTCAGGTTTTTAATCTGTAAAGACTGAAATAGATACTTACTAGTATTTAACAATAATGTTCTTACGATGTTAAGTTAAAGGACTATTTTAAAGAATTAATTCATTAATTTATTTGATAAAATTAATTGAGTTCCTACTAAGTTTCAAGTTTTGGACTGGGTGCTGGGCAGTAAAGATGAATTAATACATTGTCTTTGGCTTGAAAATACAATTTTAAAAGTTTCTGAGAAATAAATCAGCAAATAACGATAGTACTATATGAAAACTTTATATATTAATGAAAGAACAGGAACAAGATTTATCAAACCTACTACAAAAAATTGCATTATATTTTTAAGGAAACTGAGGATTTAGGCAAAATCACAAGAATATATTATCTTCAGTTTAAGATTGCAGACCTGCTCTGGTAATATTTTTTTCTGAGAGTCAATTATAGAATAAATTGTAGTAATTACTAGCATAAAACTAGGTAATAATGTAATTAAAACCAAAATATTTACTTGCTATAGAAGATACTTCTATGCATATTAATTCTGCTCTTTGCCAGCTAATAATACTCTATAGGAATCTCTCTGTGGCTTTTACATCTGGTGGTTATGGAATTAGCATGTACACACAGAGTTCAGAGTTATGCTTTAATTATGATTTGAATGATGATTTGAGTCTGAGCATGAGTTGTCAACAGAACTGTGAGCTGGGGGAAAAAGAGATAAGGACTGTTAATGGAATAAAAAGTATATTTGCAGTCACTTACTTTAAAGTGCCTTTGTTTTAAAAGAAGTAATTAATGTTAGGAATTAATTGGTTCAGATTCTTGGTTTTAAAGTTATCACTTGGTTGCTAAGATGAAGCCTTTTCAAAATTACTACACGATATGCAATGACAGGAACATTTCAGTTGAAAGGTAGAAAATATAATTGAAAAGCTAGCTTTTGAGTGCCTGCTTATCACTCTAATTGATAGAAGACGAGCCTGAGGAACTAAATTCTGTAGTTCAATAAGAAAATGTATTTAGCGGGATTTTACATTATTATGCATGGTTTCCTAGAAGAGCTAAACATTATTGCTGATGTTTTTATACAATAGTAGGCTTTAAGTGGAGCCTGAACAGTATGCATTAACTATTACAAAGCAATCATTAAGTCAAACTTATGTGCAAACAATAGTACCTAAAAATCTTTTAAGGTTTGGATAATCCAAATAAGATATCCATAAAATTCATAAAATGCAGCCATAAAGAAAGATGTTTTGATCTATATTTATTGACATAGAAAGTACATTATAAAACAGGCTACACAGTATAAAGCCAACTACTGTAAGAAAAAACAACATGTATAAAAATGGGAAAAATTGAAAAGGACAGAGTTAAAATAGGAAAGAACTAAATGTTAACGGTTATCTCAGGCACTGGAATTATGGGATATTTTAATTTTCTATAGCTATATCTGTTTTCCTAATTCTTGTACATTAAATATATTTAATTATCTAATAAACAGGACAGAGTATTTCAATTTGCCTCATGTTTAGCAGGAAAACCTTCATATGGCTTTAGAATACAATTGTATACTCTTGATGATATTTAGTTGGTCTTAACGTATATTTACAACTTTTATTTACTCATTTTTTCTCTGTGTTTGTTTTTACATATTTTATTACAATAAGTATTAAAATTTAGCAAAATATAACATAGGTAATACCTAATTTGTCTCACACAAATGAGAAACTACAGAAGCTATTTCTATTCAGAAACAGAAAAGAAGGACAATTGAACAGTGGATCTGAATTTTAATTTTGCAAATATAGAGGTGAAAATTTAAGATAATATGAATGAATTATGTAGAGGATGTGACCTGGGCATATAGGAAAAATGAAATAAAAGGAAATTGATCTAAATTTTACCACATTTTGAGTCTGTACCTGGGAAGGATGATGATAGAATAATGATTGGTCAAACCAATCACTCAGGACCGAAGGTGTGACTTTCCTTTAAAGAAAGATGATGGGTTGGCTAGCACCCTAGCTGTCTATTTCTATAAAGGTGTATCCCTTTGAGTGAGGAAAATCATGGTCCAATTGATCTGCTCAAGGAGAGTTTATTTTCTTATTTCTATTTAAAAGAATAGCATTTTGCTCAGGGCACTGTAATTCAGACATCACATCAGTGTGAACAGTTGAACCACACATACAAAAATGAAATGAGATGGGTGCATTTGGGATGAAGGTTAATCAGAAATTTCCATAGATAGGAAATGGCCTCTAAACTATTTACTTGAACACACACACACACACACACACACACACACACACACACACATACACATATACATTATAGAGTTTTGTGGCATCTCTAGGTCAAGCAGGATTGAGCTATAAAAGAAAAAGTTGTTTTGCTAGTCAGATTAATGGCTAATCATGAGGCAAGCATTTATTGAGTTGTTGCAAGTAAATGTTAAAAATCAAAGGTTAAGGGAAGAAGTTATGTTTCTGGGGACACAGTATTAAACTTCTTTCATCTTTTTAGGATTAAATGAGGTGCTTTAGTGGGTGTTTTATGTTTTTCTGCTTCCTAGGCAGTCTTCATTCTGACATGCGGCAAATAGCTTTTAACTACTAGTGAAAAATCAATTTTCCATTGTAATTTTATTAACTGTCAGTAATTAATCAGTCTCAGTTTTACTTAGAATGTTGGTTTGAATATATCCATCTGTAATTTTTTTCACCACAAATGAAAATTTGTAAACCAACCATGTTTCAAATTGGTCCTTTAACTGATGAACTAATTTTCTTGAGAGAGAAAGCTAGTGATGAGACCTGATTTTCTGTGCATCACTGCTTCATGTATTCTACTTCTTCATATTATGCTATAGGAAGTTACTTTAGAGGTTGGTGTTTTCTATTGATCGCTACAATTATTCTCAGTAATTTAAAATTTAACTGTGCAGTGATTTTTTCAAGAAAGTACTAGAACCCTGAGTCAGCACACACTCCTCTCCACCAATCCAAGGAGCAAAGATCCTTGTAGCCCAAGCATGAGTGGGCCCCACGGACTCCGGCTGTCAGCTCATATCCTGCTTGTCACTTTCCTGTTCTTTGAGCCTGCAGTTCACAGCTTAAATGCCCCTTTCCTTATAAACTGAGATGGGATGTGTGCAGCATAAGCTAACTGAGAAACTAAAGATCATTAACTAGAAAGGTGCTTCTGGGCAACAGGACATTTTTTCATTGAAAAGTTTTTAAACCTAAGAAAATACTTAATTTTTTCATGGAGGAGGATCATATTTCTCTCTTCTGATGTTCTTTCCTACTGCAGTTGTATGGTTTAAGGCAGTGGTCGGCAAACTCATTAGTCAACAGATCCAAATATCAACAGTACAATGATTAACATTTCTTTTGAGAGCCAAATTTTTTTTTTTATTGCTTAAAGTATTACAAAGGGTATTACATATGTGTCCATTTTATCCCCCCGCCCTAGACAGTCCCCTAGCCTCCCCTACCCCCCAGTGTCTTATGTCCATTGGTTATGCTTATATGCATGCATACAAGTCCTTTGGTTGATCTCTTACCCCCCTACCTCCTGCCCCCCAACCCTTCCCGGCCTTCCCGCTGCAGTTTGACAATCTGTTTGAGGCAGCTCTGCCTCTGTATCTATTATTGTTCAAAAGTTTATAATGGTCTCTATTATCCATGAATGAGTGAGATCATGTGGTATTTTTCCTTCATTGACTGGCTTATTTCACTTAGCATAATGCTCTCCAGTTCCATCCATGACGTTGCAAATGGTAAGAGTTCCTTCCTTTTTAGAGCAGCATAGTATTCCATCGTGTAGATGTACCACAGTTTTCTAATCCATTCATCTACTGATGGGCACTTAGGCTGTTTCCAGATCTTAGCTATGGTGAATTGTGCTGCTATGAACATAGGGGTGCATATATCCTTTCTGATTGGTGTTTCTGGTTTCTTGGGATATATTCCTAGAAGTGGGATGACAGGGTAAAATGGGAGTTCCATTTTCAGTTTTTTAAGGAAACTCCATACTGTCTTCCATAGTGGCTGCACCAGTCTGCATTCCCATCAGCAGTGCACCAGTGTTCCTTTTTCTCCACATCCTCTCCAGCACTTGTCGTTTGTTGATTTGTTGATGATAGCCAGTCTGACAGGTGTGAGATGGTACCTCATTGTTGTTTTGATTTGCTTCTCTCGGATGATTAGTGACTTTGAGCATGTTTTCATATGTCTCTTGGCTTTCTGAATGTCCTCTTTTGAAAGGTGTCTATCTAGGTCCTTTGCCCATTTTTTGATTGCATTGTTTAACTTCCTTTTGTTAAGTTGTATGAGTTCCCTATAAATTTTGGAGATTAGGCCCTTATCAGATATGACATTGGCAAATATGTTTTCCCACACAGTGGGTTTTCTCATTGTTTTGTTGATGGTTTCTTTTGCTGTGCAGAAGCTTTTTATTTTGATGTAGTCCCATTTGTTCATTTTCTCTTTAGTTTCAAGTGCCCTAGGAGCTGTATCAGTGAAGAAATTGTTTCAGCATATGTCTGAGATTTTGTTGCCTTTGGATTCTTCTAGAATTTTTATGGTTTCCTGTCGTACATTTAAGTCCTTTACCCATTTTGAGTTTATTTTTGTGTATGGTGTAAGTTGGTGGTCTAGTTTCATTTTCTTCCATATATCTGTCCAATTTTCCCAACACCATTTATTGAAGAGACTATCTTGGCTCCATTGTATGATCTTGCCTCCTTTGTCAAATATTAATTGAGCATATTGGTTTGGGCCAATTTCTGGGCTCTCTATTCGATTCCATTAATCTATATGCCTGTTCTTATGCCAGTACCAGGCAGTTTTGAGAACAGTGGCTTTGTAATACAGCTTGATATCTGGTATTGAGATCCCACCTACTTTGTTCTTTCTCAGGATTGCTGCAGCTATTCGGGGTCGTTTTTTATTCCAGATGAATTTTTAAGAGTTCATTCTAGATCTGTGAAGTATGCCGTTGGTATTTTAATAGGAAGTGCGTTGAATTTATAGATTGCTTTGGGTAGTATGGACATTTTAATGATGTTGATTCTACCAATCCAAGAACATGGTCTGTTCTTCCATCTCTTTATGTCTTCCTCTATATCTTTTTTCAACGTCCTGTAGTTTTCTGAGTAGAGGTCTTTTACCTCTTTAGTTAAGTTTATTCCTAGGTAGCTTAATTTTTTTGGTGCGATGGTAAATGGGATTGTTTTTATAATCTCTCTTTCTGAAAGTTCACTATTGGTGTATAGAAATGCCTCAGATTTCTTCGGGTTAATTTTGTATCCTGCTGATGTTTTCTTCTTGAGAAAACCAAGATGGCGGCATAGGTAAACACCGGAGTTAGCTGCCTCGAACAACCACTTCACAAATACAACTAAAAGACGGAACGGACATCGCCCAGAACTACAGGAAGACTGGCTGAGGGGAAATTCTTCAACTAGAAGGAAAGAGAACAGCATACGAGACTCAGAGGAGGCGCAGTGCGGAAAATACAAAGGTGCAGAGGTACGTGCGGAGCGGGCTGGTAGCTGAGGGCGCGGTTGTCGTTTTCAATCGGGAGGGAGTCTCAGATTGTGAGCTCCAGTTCTGGGTGAGTCTCTAGGGACCCAGACTCAAACAGTAGAAGCGGGACTGTCTGGCATCGGTCGGAACGCGAGGGCAGCTTTCTCTCCGAGGTTTGCAGTAGTTGCTGGGACTCTGAGAGGCAGAGCCTCTGGGGACGGGACTGAGAGCAGCCATAACTGCTCCCTTCACCCGCTCTGTTGATCCCATGCGACCAGCCCCATCCAAGCCCTGTGCAGAGCCATTTGCCAGATAGCCTCAGGCAAAGGCTAGATTAGCACCTCCCTAGAGGACAGAAGTTTTCCCATTGCAGACACAGCTGATTCTCACAGCCAGTTGGCCTGGAGGTCAAATCCCCCTAGTATTAACTACAACAATCAAGGCTTAACTACAACAAGACTGCGCACAAAGACCACTAGGGGGTGCACCAAGAAAGCATAAAAAATGCGGAGACAAAGAAACAGGACAAAACTGTCAATGGAGGATATTGAGTTCAGAACCACACTTTTAAGGTCTCTCAAGAACTGTCTAGAAGCCGCCGATAAAGTTATTGAGATCCTCAAGAAATCTAATGAGACCCTCAATGTTGTGATAAAGAACCAACTAGAAATTAAGCATACACAGCTGAAATAACGAATATCATACAGACTCCCAACAGCAGACCAGAGGAGTGCAAGAATCAAGGCAAAGATTTGAAATGCAAAGAAGCAAAAAACACCCAACCAGAAAAGCAAAATGAAAAAAGAATCCGAAAATACGAAGATAGTGTAAGGAGCCTCTGGGACAGCTTCAAGTGTACCAACATCAGAATTATAGGGGTGGCAGAAGATGAGAGAGACCAAGATATTGAAAACCTATTTGAAGAAATAATGACAGAAAACTTCCCCTACCTGGTGAAAGAAATAGACTTACAAGTCCAGGAAGCGCAGAGAACCCCAAGCAAAAGGAATCCAAAGAGGACCACACCAAGACACATCATAATTAAAATGCCAAGAGCAAAAGACAAAGAGAGAATCTTAAAAGCAGCAAGAGAAAAACAATCAGTTACCTACAAGGGAATACCCATACGACTGTCAGCTGATTTCTCAACAGAAACTTTGCAGGCCAGAATGGAGTGGCAAGAAATATTCAAAGTGATGAATGCCAAGAACCTACAACCAAGATTACTTTATCCAGCAAAGCTATCATTCAGAATTGAAGGTCAGATAAAGAGCTTCACAGATAAGGAAAAGCTAAAGGAGTTCATCACCACCAAACCAGTATTATATGAAATGCTGAAAGGTATCCTTTAAGAAGAGGAAGAAGAAGAAAAAGGTAAAGATACAAATTATGAACAACAAACATGCATCTATCAACAAGTGAATCTAAGAATCAAGTGAATAAATAATCTGATGAACAGAATGAACTGGTGATTATAATAGAATCAGGGACATAGAAAGGGAATGGACTGACTATTCCTGGGGGGGAAAGGGGTGTGGGAGATGCGGGAAGAGACTGGACAAAAATCGTGCACCTATGGATGAGGACAGTGGGTGGGGAGTGAGGGTGGAGGGTGGGGCGGGAACTGGGAGGAGGGGAGTTATGGGGGGAAAAAAGAGGAATAAATGTAATAATCTGAACAATAAAGATTTAATTAAAAAAATAAAAATAAATAAAAAAACAAAACAAAAAACACACACACACACACTCACATAAAAAAATTTTGTATCCTGCTACATTGCCAAATTCATGTATTAAGTCTAGCAGCTTTTTGATGGAGTCTCTAGGGTTTTGTATGTATAATATCATGTCGTCTGCAAATAAGGACAGTTTTACTTCCTCTTTTCCAATTTGGATGCCTTTTATTTCTTCTTCTTGCCGAATTGCAATGGCTAACACTTCCAGTACTATGTTGAACAAGAGTGGTGAGAGGGGGCATCCCTGTCTTGTTCCTGTTCTTAGGGGAAATGGTGTTAGTTTTTGTCCATTGAGTATGATGTTGGCTGTGGGCCTGTCATATATGGCTTTTATTATGTTGAGGTATGATCCTTCTACTCCCACCTTACTGAGAGCTTTTATCAAAAATGGGTGTTGAATTTTGTCAAATGCTTTTTCTGCATCAATTGATATGACCATGTGGTTTTTTTCTTTCAATTTGTTGATGTGATGTATCACGTTTATTGATTTGCGGATATTGTACCATCCTTGCATCCCTGGGATAAATCCTACTTGGTCATGGTATATGATCTTTCTGATGTACTGTTGGATCCGATTTGCTAAGATTTTGTTGAGGATTTTGGCATCTATGTTCATGAGGGATATTGGCCTGTAATTCTCTTTCATTGTGTTGTCTTTACCTGGTTTTGGTATTAGGGTGATGCTGGCTTCATAGAATGAGCTTGGAAATGTTCCTTCCTCTTGAATTTTTTGTAGTAGTCTGTGGAGGATAGGTTTTAGTTCTTTCTTGAATGTTTGGTAAAACTCCTCTGTGAAGCCGTCTGGTCCTGGGCTTTTGTTTGATGGAAGCTTTTTGATGACTGCTTCAATTTCTTCCATACTTATTGGCCTATTGAGATTTTTAGATTCTTCCTGATTGAGTTTTGGAATGTTGTATTTTTCTAGGAATTTGTCCATTTCCTCCAGGTTGTCTAGTTTGTTGGAGTAGAGCTGTCCAAAATATTTTTTAACAATCATTTGTATTTCTGTGAGGTCTGTTGTTATTTCGCCTCTATCGTTTCTGATTTTGTTTATTTGGGTCCTCTCTCTTTGCTTCTTGGTGAGTCTGGCTAGAGGTTTGTCAATCTTGTTTATCCTTCCAAAGAACCAGCTCTTGGTTTCATTGATTTTCTGTATTGTTTTTTGGTCTCTATGTCATTTATTTCTGCTCTAATCTTTATTATCTCCTTCCTTCTGCTCACTCTGGGGTTTTCTTGTTGAGAGAGCCAAATTTTTAAAAAAATATATTTTATTGATTTTTTACAGAGAGGAAGGGAGAGGAATAGAGAGTTAGAAACATCGATGAGAGAGAAACATCGATCAGCTGCCTCCTGCACACCCCCCACTGGGGATGTGCCTGCAACCAAGGTACTTGCCCTTGACCGGAATTGAACCTGGGACCCTTCAGTCTGCAGGCCGACACTCTATCCACTGAGCCAAACTGGTGCTGGCGAGAGAGCCAAATTTTTTAAACTTAAACTATATAGGTAGGTACATTGTTATTAACTTAATTAGGGTACTCCTAAGCTGGCCTTTGCTAAAAACGTCCTCAACCTGATTGAGGTACATTCGCTGAGGTCGACCCCTTCCAACTCTCCCATCCACTCTCGTCTTGTATACTTGTTTCGTCTATCTCCTTTCGTTCATCCTCTCTATATGTCCAACCCATCTCAACATACCTTTCTCAATCCTCGACACTACATCTTCTTTCACTCCACAACGTTCCCTAAAATTAACTTAATAAACTTTACTTAAAGTTTTAAGTCTTAGTTAAACTATAGGTACATTGAATAAAACTTGATATACTTAATAACGATATTATTTATTGATAAAATTAAATTCCTTACTATTTACCTACAATATCCATAAAATTAAATCATGACACTGACGCCACCTCTTCAAAATAGACTCGCCCAGGCCGAAAACCAACTTCTGCGCATGGGCCACAAAGTTTCAATCGCACTGTACGTACGCGCCTGCATGTGGTATTTTGTGGAAGAGCCACACTCAAGGGGCCAAAGAGCCGCATGTGGCTCATGAGCCACGGTTCGCCGACCACTGGTTTAAGGCACAACAGAGGGAGTATGACTCTTCTCTCATTAACCCTCACAATTCATTAAAGTCTCTATCTTTTCTGTTGCTTTCCTTTTCTCTTCCATTTTGGCATGAGCGGTGCCTTCTAGGGTTTGGGTAGGGGTGTGTACATTTTATATTTGTGAGGAAAAGTTCAGGAATATGTTTGAGGGAATATAATACCGTAGGTATTTTTTCATAATGTGCATATACTGTCAGAAGGAGTTTTTAAAAATAAAAAGTGTCTGTTTATTAAAAGGAAGATGACAAATTAGGAAAAATAGTTGCCTTTACTTGCCTTTCTCCATTCCGTATTTGTGTGTCTCTTTTGTGTTTCTCTGGCTTCTGGCACATCAACACGTTTACTTTTTTGCTTATCCCTTCAATGCACATAAAATAGTTTAAGAATTCATATACCTTTACAACCACAAAAATAAACCTATTAAGATGAGTTCCAGATTTGTTTGCAATTCTTTTACTCTCTAGCCAGTGTGCAAAAGTAGTTTATAACTAATTTGATATTTTTGTCTGCAGGTACTGAGAATTTGTCTTTGTTTGTGAAGTACATTAGTTTTTCTGGGACTGCTTTATTTAGTTTTCTCATGTATACAGTTATACCTTTATATATGTAAAATTTTTTTATCTCATTTTCAGAAAAATTTTTTTGATTAAATTTTAGTTCTGGTGTATTATTTTGTGTTTGTTCTATTGGGATTCCAATTACTATAAGTATGTTGGACCCTCTTTTCCTGTTTTCTATTTTAAGTATTTTTCTCTGATCTTCTTAACTTCCTATGTTGTTTTTTTAAAAAATCTTATTTTAATTTTCTTGGTTGTTATTTTGCCTTGTAATCATTCTTTATTAAATGTTCATTTGAATTTGTTCTGTCCTGGGCAACTTATAATTTATTTTTCTTTATTGGGATGGTTTGTCCTTTACATCAATTTCTCTATTTAATGAACATCCATGCTTATTTTTTCAGTTTAAAAGAAAATCCTTAGTTTTTGAATTTCTAAATCTAATT